ACTGTGGCAAATGGAGGCTTTTCACTGCCTGTAGAGACAATACAGTAAGCATAGTTATTCGGTGGGCCAGAACATGTTAAGATAACTTACTGTATATGTATTCCCTTGTATTTTGTTAAAGCTGGAACATTTGATATTTTTCCATTTATTTATGAAAAAATATGAACCTATTTTCATTTGTACGAGCTAATTGTTTTTTAAAGCAAGTCACCTTAGGGTGGCTTTAATTGTATAAGTCAAGCACATGTAAAAAATTCAAAACCTGCAGTTAACAGGATATTAGACATCAGTCCTGGTAACCAAATATTAAAGATTCTCTTTAAAAAAGACTGAATATGTTTACAGGTTTGAATTAGGCTAAAAGGTCTTGCAGTGGCTTTTCATGCCCCTTCAAATTGGAATGGAACTACTGTACTTTGCCATTTTTCTATAAATCAGTATTTTTTTTTAATTTTGATATAATACATTGTGTGAAAAAAGAAAATGGCTAATAAACTGTATTAAATCTTAAACAATGTATAAAGATTGTACTTAGCCAGTTCAAAGTGTATATTTATTCATAATGAATTATAACAGTTATATTTTTGTGTTTTCTTGTAAATGTTTCTTTTTCCTTAAATACAGATAATTCATTTGTATTGCTTATTTTATTATGAGCTACAACAAGAGGATTTCAGGAACAAGTAAACTGTATTAGTATGGTTCAAGGTTGTTGATATGAACTGTCTCAAAAGGATGGTTGTTATTTTAAGTATAAATAGCTAATTGGGGTGGTAGGCCTATAAAATTAAATGCCTTGTATAAAATCCAAAATGAACGCAAAATTGTTTTCACTTGTATGACTTTATGTTGTATGATTCCAATCTCTGTTCTGTTTGGCACTTGTATTTAATTCTACACCGTTGTAAGACATTTGTATATTGCGATGTGTTCATTCAAGCTATTTAATACCTGGCACTGTTAATACACAGTACTTTACTGTACAGACTGTTTTACCGTTTTAATTGTAGTTCTGTGTACCTTTTTTTGGATGGGGCTGGCATGTTTTGTTTTCTGGCAATACGACATGTGAGAATTTCGAAGCGTTTTGTTGTAGATGCTAACGTGTCAGAATCCTTTACATTCAACTTTTCTAAGAAAAGCATTTTCAGTCTTGTAGTGTGTGCTTACAGTAACTAATTTTGTTGAAAATGGTTTCAAGTTATTCAAATTTGTACAGGACTGTAAAGATTTGTTGACAGCAAAACGTTGAAGAAAAAGCTTATAGAATAAAAGCTATAAAGTATATATTAGGATCTGCAAACAATGAAGAATTATGTAATATATTGTACAAATGTAAGCAAAGGCTCTGAAATAAAATGCCATAGTTTGTGAATCCTTGATTTTGTTTCTAAAAGATTAAGTAATTTTAGTTCATTTCTGTATATGATGACTGACTGGAACATACATCTCCAGCCTGTATTATCAGAAGGGTTTAATTGACATACCAAAAAAGGGAAATATTATACCTATAGAAATTAAAAAGTCCATTAATCAGACAGAGGATTTAGTAGGTATTTTTTATCTTTGTATATACACTATAGACTATTTTGCTTGAGTCTGAGCGTGAATATTTATGACTTGGAGGTTTGTCTAAAGAAAAAAAATTATTTTCTTTAACATGTGGAACCATTACCAGCAGCTTTTTTTACTTTTTCCTGTCTTGTAATTTCATTGGAGTTTTACTTTTAGTGTACTCTGCCCCACTGCTCATTGGAATCATCTGGGCATTGTTAAAACAATAGTCAATACTCGTACCGTGCCCATGCTGGTGGTGCTAGTGGTGGGGCAGCTATTGCCCCCCCAAAAGTCGTACTTAATTAGTCTATGGTGAAACTTGGATGTCGATCTTGTTTTAATGGTCTCCAGTGACTTTAATATGCATCTGAGTTGAGAACCACTGCTTTTTCTCCCCATTTTAAAAAATCGGTAATTAGGTTTTTTGCCCCACTTAACGAACTTTCCACCAAGAGACAATCCTTTCTTGGGCGCCTGGGTGGCTCAGTTGGTTAAGCGACTGCCTTCAGCTCAGGTCATGATCCTGGAGTCCCGGGATTGAGTCCCGCATCAGGCTCCCTGCTCGGCAGGGAGTCTGCTTCTCCCTCTGACCCTCTTCCCTCTCGTGCTCTCTCTCTCTCATTCTCTCTCTCTCAAATAAATAAATAAAATCTTTAAAAAAATACAATCCTTTCTTAAAACAATAATTTTTAAGGCCTAAAAAGCTCAAATGTATAGTTTTAAAAGCACCTTTGGGGGGACGCTTTATTTTTACAGAAATTTAACTTCTAAGGGATGAGTTTTAAAATCTGTAGAACGGTGCTTCCCAAAATGAAGTTCTAGAATACTGGTTCCTGGAAATGCTTTGGGAGTTGTCAAATATATATGCCATATATAGCACTTTTTTTCTGCAGAGATTCATTGTTAGCATATTAAAAACTGAGGAGGCCTGTGAAGAGATATCTGGCTAAACTTCCTTAACCCTACGGTTCTCAATCTTGCCTGATCATGAAACCTTGTTTTCCAAGGAACTACTAATACAGCCGACTTTTTATGTTACAGAAACAGTGCTCTAGCAGAGAATGATTCCAAACTTTGTTGTAGTCAAGGTTTACACTCTTGGGCCTCTCTGCCTTCCTGCCCATCCTCCCTTCTTCCCAGCTCCTCTGGAGAGTTTGAGAATTTCATGGTATTACCAGAATTTGACTTAAGTTTTCATCTGGTCACCTGAACTATTACGTTTTATCAACCTAGTTACAGTATCTGGTAAAATTAAGAGGATATGTTTTTTGCAGTGTTCTCCAAAACTTTTTTTTCCCTACTGAAATAACCTGAGAGTGAGGTCTTGTTAATTTTCTTAACCTGGGGAAATTGGGGAAGCTGAAGCAGCATACACAAGACCACTAACATTTTGTAAAAAGCGTTTTTGTATTTTTTTTTTTTAAGTAGGCTCTATGCCCAGTGTGAAGCCCAATGTAGGGCTTGAGCTTATGACCCTGAAATCAAGACCTGAGCTAAAATCAAGAGTTGGACACTTAATGGACTGGGACACCCAGGAGCCCCTTATCTGTACTTTCCTCTGAAAAGTCTTTATATTTTAAACTCTTCAAAGGGGTTAAGTGGTCTCCAAACACTTCAAAACCAGTTCTGAACAGCAGTGGGGATCATTTTTTAACTCTCCAACCACAGCTTCTTTAATCCTCACTATTTTCCTCTAGAAATGTGTGCTCCCTTTCATTGTTTTTGAGTCCATTTCTCCACCTTTCTTTTAATTTTAACCTGCTCTTTAGGGATTTCTGGCTAACATCTTGATGGGTTTTGTGTATATTAGATGTGATACCCTGGAGGAATAGTTTGATGGTTTAGTTGTAGAAGTAATATATGTAAGAACTAATAAAATCTGTGCTAAACTGGATGGTCAGGGAAAACTGGTGCGTAAGAGTTTAAAGAGGAGATGAATGAGCATATGGGAATTGTGATGACAGATGTGAGGGTGACACAGAGGAGATGCAAACCTTGAAATAACATTCAAGGGAGATTCATCTAGAAATGGAATGTGTAGGCAAGAATGGAGAGGAAGAGTCAGGAAAAGCCAGATGTGATGAGGTTGCAGTGTTACAGATAAAATGATTCTTGGAATAATGCTAGAGTAGGGAGGGAATGGGGATTTGGAAACACTCTGAATGAAAAAATTAGGATTTCTTCATTGGACTGTATAAGATGGAGGGAGATGCTTGAATTGCAAATAGGGACAATTGGATTTGTCCCATCTTTTGTGAAATACTGCAAGGTCACAATTAGGGGAAACCTAAATAAGAGACTCAGAAAACAAAACTACGGCCAAGCAGGTGAATATTGTGAGGTTTTTTTTCGATTTTTCTGATGTGGCCTATGAAAGGTCACCTATATCCTCAATTACTTCTGTTAAGCAGCTTTTATTTTATTTATTTTTTTTAGAAAATGTCCTAAAATGTGCATTTTATTCCATACCATTATACCCAATGTTTACATATAGTTATAACTCTTAAGAAAATGTTTTTTCTTTACCAATTGTACGTAGTGCCTAAATCTTTTAACATGTTAAGCAGCTTTTAGAAAGCAGATCTATTCTCAGAGTCAAAATTCAATCCGATTTTACCACCAAAGTTCTGAATTCAATGATCTAATTATAATCTAATATTTATCTTTTATTACCTAAAAATCAATTTACTGACATTCACTAGGTACGATATACAGAAATAGGATAAATAAGACACCCATTTAGACATCTAGACAGAGTGTACATTAACACTAATGCAGTTTGATGAAGGACTGGAAAAAATCTATTGCAAATAGCTGGGAAATTTTCGTAAGTGAGATATCAGAGCTGGACCTTGAAGGACGGACATGATTTTGCAGGTGAAGGTGAGTAAAGAGGATAATTATGGGTAAAGGAATAACAAAAGGTAAAGGAATAACAAGGAATAAAAAAGGCCAGAATGTGCGGGTTTGGAGGGAGAGGAGTCTGGAAGTTAGGCTGAGAAAATAGCAAGAATTTTGAGTGCCAAGGATCTGGTAGAATAGCACGGCAGAGCAGGTTAGGGCTGAGGCCTCCACTGTCAAATTTCAGAAAAACTGCCAGAGCAATGCAAAGAATATCCACGTACGCTTCACACCGATTCACCAATTGCTAATACTATGTAGCCGACATCCCTGTAACCTCCTTTCTTGATGAACCTCTCTCCGTCCTCATCAGTGATTCAGGGGTTTTCGACCTTGTTTTCCCTCCACTTGGACTGACGCCCCACACCCAGTCTCGCTGATTCTTACTTATACTTAAGGCCTCAAGTACTCTCGAAAGACTTCCTCCACTCCCGAGGTCCAACCCGGTGCCGGAAGCCCTGCCCCAACTCCCCGGGTGTCTCCGGCTCCCACGCAGCCCAGAGCGGAAGGGGCGTGGCCTGAGAGCGGAAGTAGCAGGGAGCCGGAAGTGCGATCGGGCGTGCCGGCTGCTGTCCAGGAAGCCTGGAAATGAGAATGCCGTTGGAAGGGAAGAACAAACGGAAGAAAAAGGGAGGTGCGGAGGAAAGGTGAGTGGCGCGTGGCACGTCTACCCGGGCGAAGGTGGGCGTTCGGGAGCTCGGGCGGGCGAAACGGTGGGGCGTGGCGTGGCGTGGCTGAGTTTGTGGCGTCGGTGTCTAGAGACGACCCAGACGACGGCGTTCGCGGGAATCTGACAGGAGACTATGTGGTTGGACAAGTCGCCAGCAGCTTGTTCCAGGGCAAGCGGCCCTCCAGAGACAGCACAGCTCGGCTCGCGTCCCTCTTCAGCTCTTTAGAGCCGCAGCCTCAACCCGTGTATGTGCCTGTGCCGAAAGTAAGTCACCGGCTTCTATTCCGAATGGCCCGTTAGAACGGCTTTTTACCTCGCAGGGCTTGGTTTCTAGAGTGGGGCAGATAGGATTAATTTTAAGTAACCGTTCATTACTGGACATCCATTGGGAGAGAAAATTTGCAAATTTAGAAAGACTGCTAAATTATTGAAAAAGATGAGTTTTCAAACATAACTTCCAATTTTTAAAAGGAGACCACCAAAAAAAGGAAACGGGATGAGGAGGAAGAAAGTACATCCCAAATTCAGAGACCACTCTTGCAGGAACCTTCAAAAAAAACGAAAGCGAAGAAGAAACTTGCTGATGCAGACAAAAAGTTGGCAAACAGGTTGGTAGAATTCTCTTAAGTTGATGTTAAATTAGATGGTAAAGAAATTAAGATTTTTGGACCTGCAATATTCTTTTTTTCCCTCATTTCGTAGTTCTGATTTTTACCAAAAAATGTTTATTATGGAAAATTTCATGTATATTCAAAATTTGAAAAGGATGAGGAGAACCTCGTATACCCAGCATCAACAGTTATTCATACTTGGCCAGTCTTGTTTCCTCTTTACCCCATTCATAGCTCCCTCATTAAGTGGAAGCAAATCTAAGATCTGTAATCTAAGTCTGTAAATATTGCAGCATGAAGAAGAAGAATTTTGTTTTCTTAAACTTCCTAAGTCAGAGATCAGATTTCTGCCATTAGCTTATAAAAAAGTTTTCTTTATAGTTTATCTGATCAAGATCCAAATAGAAGTAACATCACAGGTTCCCAGGTAACTTTCCTCAGTCTGCGAAGCCACTCTCTTCAAGCCCTTTATTTCTCGTTTCTCTCTCCCCAGGTGATATTACCTAGTCAGAGAGCTATTAATTGCTAACAGTTACTAAGCACCACTTTTCCAACCTCCTACTTAGTGTATTTATGCACATCCTTAATTTCTTTCCCTTTCTCTTAGAGAAAGGTGTCTTCCTCTTTGTCCAAGATTAATTCAATCACCTGTTCTGTGTATACCACAGACCTCTTCTGCCTCCTTCGGGATTGTGCCATCAGGTATATGCATTTTCTTCTCTTCCCTGTGTCTTTTCTCTGTCTACTGTACAAATATGCTCAAGATTCTCATCCTAAAAAGAGAAATCCAACAAAACCAAACCCTGTCTATAGTCATGCTTCCCTGTTTGCTATCTACCTTTCCCTTGGTCCTTCCCTTCATAGTCAGGCTTTCAGAAAAATGTGATACTTTTGTTCTCTTCCTTTTCTGGATCTGTTTTATCTTTCATGAACTTGTAGTCATTGTTTGCTTGTTGTGTTTGTTTTTCTATGATCTGATCAAACTTCTGAAACAGTGCTCAGTGGAGCCATCCTGACCTAGTTGCCATGTTTAGTAGACAGTAAGCCTTTGTCTGGTGAGTCCTCTCTTGCATTTCACATGGCTGCTTTTCTTTCTGCAGCTCTTAGATTTTTTGACAGCGATCTCTTCTGAGTCTCTTTGTTCCTTCTCTGTTACTGTGGGTACCTTTTTTTCCGACTGCTCTGTAAATGTTGATTTTCCTCAGGATTCTGTTTGGTCACCTTCTCTGGCCTTTTTTCTACCATTCATTCTGAGCAATCACATTTATTCCCATGGCTGCATCATTCCGATTTCTCTCCTGATCTCTTGACCTGTGAATCTGTTTGCCTGCTGGCATTTGCACCTGTATCTTCTATATGCAGTTGACCTTTGAACAATGGAATGGTAGGAGCAGCGACCTCCACACAGTCAAAAATCCACATATAAGTTTGACTCCCCCAAAACTTAACTACTGATATCCTACTGTTGACCGTAAGCCGTACCAGTACCATGAACAGTCGATAAACACATATTTTATGTTATATATAGTGTACTTACAATAAAGTAAACTAGAGAAAAAATGTTATCGAGAAAATCATAAGGAAGAGAAAATACATTTATAGTCCTGTACCGTATTTATCGGGGAAAAAAAATGCACTTGTAAGTGGAGTTGAAACCCATGTTCAAGAGTCAGCTGCACCTCAAGTTCAGAATGCTTCAGACTGAGCTGTGTATCTTCATCACACCTGTTCCTCTGCACGAGTGGTACCACCAGCTTTCCAGTTGCCTAAACCAGTGACTTGGGAGTCATCTTACACTCTCTCGCTCCTGCATATCTAATTAGCTGCCAAGTCCTGATGATGCTGTCTTTTAATTATCTCTTTAATCTTTCTCTCCCTTTCCACCCCTCCCTTTCTCTAGTTGGTCTGTTGTCCTCTCACATACATGCAGTTATAACTCTCTCCTTACTGATCTCCCTTATCCAGCTTTGCCCCCTTCCTACTTATCTTCTGCTCTGCTGCCCAAATGATCTGTTTTAGTCAGTCTCTAAAGTCTTCAGTGGCTCGTTATTCTCCGTGGGTTACGATGTAAGCTCGTTTGCATTAACAGCCACGGTCCTTCTTGACCTGGTTCCTTCCTCACCATTCTGTCTTGGTTCCCTTCACTCCTGCTCGGTACTTTATATGCCATAGTGGACAAAAAACTCGACACGAACCCTCTCCTTAGTGGAACTTAGGGTCTAGTGGAAGAGTAATATTGGTAAAATTTACTGAGCACTATGTGCCAGACACGGCGTTTCCTCCTCTGAGAAGTCTTTCTTGTTTCTTTTATTTTTCTATACCGTGTTCCCATTTTATTGTGAACTTTGCCTATCTCTTCAAAGGCTAGACTATTGAAAGGCCTTTAATAGTCTCTTCATCTTTCTATCCCCAGAAGCTGGAACTGAGTAGAAACCCAGTAAATATTTACTGAGTGAATGTATCATTTACTACCCATGACTGGTACTATCCATTCTCTCCCCTCCTTAACATCCCGGTCCAGGGGCATCTGGCTGGCTTGTTTGGAAGTGCATGTGACTCTTGATCTTGGGGTTGTGATTTTGAGCCCCATGCTAGGTGTAGAGATTACTAAAAACAAATAAACTTAAAAAAAAAAAAAAAAGATCCTGGTCCAGTTCTCTGTTAGGAGTGATGCTCAGATCTCGCTTATCTGTGTGCACCATTTCAGAATGTACTTTTGACAAGCAGTCCTTTAGTTATTACAGAACTATTATAAATAGGAAATCTGGTTTTCCCTATTGGCCAGATTGCTTTTATGAAGTATTTTGCAGCCCGTATTAACCTTTATAGACCCCCTGGGAGTGCTGCAGTTCCCCTAGAGTTCTAGAGCCGAGAATGAAACTAGGCATTCATAGAGTGTAAACTAAATCTCCCAAGAGCTTTAAATGTACCAACTTTTGTTGAAATGAACTTTGGTTGCTCAGCTATTACGTGGCGGTTTTAACGTATCTTCAAAAAATTGAGCTTGATTTTTTCTAATCTTGGGTTTTCTAAAGATAACAGTTACTTTTTGATAATACTGCTTTTTAAATTTAGATATATTTATGAATCGTACATTTATATTTGGGAAAGTCAGAAGTAGGAGGGAATTTTTTTTTTTTTAGGAGATCACGTGAGCTTGGGGAGGGGGTGTGCTCAGAGGGAGAGGGAGAATCTTAGGCAGGCTCCATGCTCAGCACAGAGCCTCACAACTCTAAGACCCTGAGATTGTGACCTGAGTAGAAATTAAGGGTCCAATGCTTAACTGACTGAGCCACCCAGGCGCCCCAGGTGGGAAATATTTCTGATCCTTGTGCTTTGCCAAATACTACGCCTGACTTCCATGATTCTTATTTCTTCTTTTCTTTTTGCTCTCTCTCTTTTTTTTTTTTTTGGCCTTGTAAAGGGAAAACGCTCTAGCAAGTGCTGATTTAGAAGAAGAAATTCATCAAAAACAGGGACAAAAAAGGAGTAATTCTCAATCTGGTATTAAAGTAGCAGATAAAAAAGTACCTGATGATGGAGATCACACAGTTGTAAATCAAAGAAAAATTGAAATCAACCAAGAAGAGGAGAGATTAAAGAACAAGAGAACTGTGTTTGTTGGGAATTTGCCTGTCACATGTAACAAGAAGGTAAGTGTGTAACCTGCATGTTGTAAAGATTCAGAGATGTTAATAATACATAACTTTGTTTACTCTTCCTTTATTGAATAAGTGCATAATTAATAAGTTATTAACATAGAATTTCATTATAAATGACTACGTTGATCATTCTATAGATTGATTCTAATATACACCCTCCTCTCTCCATTCCCATAGTCACTGCCCTAATTCAGGCTTTTGCAAATCTTACTTGAAGTATTGTGGTGGCCTTCTCTCCCGGTTTTTTCTTTCTTCCAGCTGTCTCTTCTGTTACACGTAACTAGAATGTAAACCAGAAATAATGCCTAGCGCGTAGTAAGAGGTTCAGTGAATGTTGTATAAATGAAAGAATACATCCTAACTTTCTTCCATTGTGTGGGATTCACTAAACCCGAAATCTGCCCTTTACTTTTATCGTTTATATGTAGTAAAGATTATAAAAGATTGAAAGACAAAAATATTGTGTACCTTATGGGTAGTAACAAGAACTTGAGTTGTGTTTATATGAACATACATATGTATAAATTTCGGTAGAATTTTTTTTTTGTCTTCCAACTGAATAGTCAACTATTCCTGAAATATTCTTAAAATAAAACCTGGCAGTAAAAGATTATCAGACAGTGTACTTAATTCCTTTTTATAACACTTATTTGACGTTCTGAAAGTAAACTAAAGTATATATATGCTTTTTTGTTTTAGAAGCTGAAGTCATTTTTCAGAGAGTATGGACAAATAGAATCTGTACGATTTCGTTCTCTGGTATGTGTTCCTCCCACCTTGAAACTGCAAATCTTAAAATGTATTGCATTTTAAGTCAGACTTACTAACATGTTGGTGTTAGTGAGTTGGAGAAGCACAGCCTTTTGAATCAACAGGTTCAAATCTAGCCCAAGAGAAGAGGTGCTCTTGGTATATAGTGCTGACACTTGGACTCTGTTCATAATTTAATGAGTTCACGTAGTGAAATGATATCGTTGGAGGGTGGATGTGTGACTTTTGTTTGCAGAACAGCAATACATGTTGGGATGCCTGGGTGGCTCAGTCAGTTAAGCATCTGCCTTTGGCTCAGGTCATGATCCCAGGGTCTTTGGATCAAGTTCCACATCAGGCTCCTTGCTCAGCAGGGAACCTGCTTCTCCCTCTCCCCTCTGCTCCCCCTGCTTGTGTTCTCTCTGACAAATAAATAAAGTCTTTAAAAAAACAAACAAACAAACATTAATACATGTTGAATAGCATTTCTAGAATCCTAGGCATTCGGTACAGGAAGTTCGTGTGACTACTGCAAATAGTACTTACACTCTAAGCATAGGCAGTCAAAGTTTTTATTTATTTTAATTTTTTAAAAGATTTTATTTATTTATTTGAGAGAGAGAGAGAGAGAGGGCTTGTGCACACACGAGTGGGGAGGGATAGAGAGAAGGGGAGAGAGAATCCCAAGCAGGACTTCCTGCTGAGCGTAGGGCCAGATGCAGGGCTTGATCTCATGACCCTGAGATCATGACCTGAGTCCTAATCAAGAGTCAGACATTTAACTGACTGAGCCACTCAGGCACCCCAGCAGATGAAGTTTAAAAAAAAAAATAAAAAATCAAGGGGCGCCTGGGTGGGTCAGTCGGTTAAGCATCTGTCTTTGGCTCCGGTCATAATCTCGGGGACCTGGGATGGAGCCCCGTATTGGGCTCCCTGCTCATTGGGGAGTCTGCTTCTCCCTTTCCCTCTGCCTGCTTCCCCTACTTGTGTTTGCACGCATGCTCTCTCAAATAAATAAAATCTTAAAAAAAATAAAATAAAAAATAATTTAATGCTAAGCCTTTATAGAAATAGATGGTATCTGATTTCACCCACTGAGCACTCTGTAGACCAGTTATAGCCATGCTCCTTGAAGTATGAAATAGCATCATTCTTTTTTTCTCATTCATATTTTTTAAATGTAATTAATGCATATTAAAATATAAGAAATGTTTATTCCTTGTTTCTAACTGTTCTTTCTCATGTGATTCTCTAAAATGAGGTTTCTCAGGGGCGCCTGGGTGGCTCAGTCATTCAGCATCTGCCTTCAGCTCAGGTCATGATCCCAGGGTCCTGGGACCGAGCCCCGCATCGGGCTCCCTGCTCGGCGGGAAGCCTGCTTCTCCCTCTCCCACTCCCTCTGCTTGTGTTCCCTCTCTCACTGTCTCTCTCTCTCTCTCTCTCTGTCAAATAAATAAATAAAATCTTTAAAATAAAATAAAATGGGGTTTCTGAGCCTTGATACTATGGATGTTTTGTGCCAGATAATTCGTTGTTGTTGGAGGCTGCTCTGTGCATTAGAGGATGTTTAGCAGCATCTCTGGCCTCTACCCACTAGATGCCGGTAGCACCCTCCCCACCCCAGCTGTAACCACCGAAAGTTTCTCCATTCATTGCTAAATGTTCCCAGAGGGCAAAACTGCTCACTTCTCTAAAAGTAGACATTTCCCAGGGCGCCTGGGTGGTGCGATCAGTTAATTGTAGGACTCTCTTGGTTTTGCCTCAGGTGGCGATCTCAGGGTCATGAGATCGAGCCCTGAGTCGGGCTCCTCACTCAGCACAGAGTCTGCTTAAGACTCCCTGTCCTTCTCCCTCTGGCCCCCCCACCCTGCACACTTGGCCCCTGTGTGTGAGCTCTCGTTCTCTAAAATAAATCTTAAAAATAGACATTTCCCAGGGTTTTGGCACGGTCGCCATAATTTTTGTCATGGTATTTGTTTCTCACTTTTTTCATATATATTTTGTGTGCCTTTCAGAGTCCCATTTCCCCATATCAGAACGTTCCCTGATACATCCACTTGGCTATCTTCAGCACCCCTCTGCTCACGTCCACTTCTCCCCGGCCCCATCCCGTGCTGTGTGCTGATGTTCTGTATGAGTTAGTGCCACCCAGGCTGCAAGCCTCTTCAGTGCCTTGGACTCTTCTTTGGACCCAGCCTATTGCTGGTATCCCTGCCTATGTTTTAGCTGTGGTTTTTTCCCAAGAGGAGTCCTTCCTTTCTTTCTGCATTGTTCCACCAAAGTTCTCATTACCTCTTGCCAGAATAGTTGCAGAGGCTTGTTACGGTTCCTACATTCAGTCTACCTCTGTTCAGCACACTGACTGTCAACTTAATTTTCCTAAAAATTCTTCTTAATGGAACTCATGATCATTACACATATAGACACCACACCACATGTGTGTGCACATGCGTGTACACACACACACACACACACACACACCTTGGCCTGGTTTACCTTTGGGGAGCCTGGCCAGATTCTTCCCTGTCCCTGGATTACTGGTTTGTGTGTTGACCCTGCTGTGCACTCTCCAGCACCCTGTACTTCATCATAGTCCTTATGATACTGTTCCATAATTGCTACGTTGTTTGTGCGCCCCATCTGACTGAAAGCCATGATTGCAAATACGCTGTTTGTCTTGCTCATCTCTGGGTCACCAGTACCTGCATGTTGTGCACATTAAACATACGTGGAATTGCCTAAAACCCTTACATTTTTCTTGCTGTGAGTGAAATCTGTCCTGGTTCTCAGCCTGACACTCGTCACAGCCTCGTCCCGAGGCCCTCTGTGCCTCCACATGTCGCTCTCCTGCAGCCCCAGAGCTTCCCTCAGTGCTGATCATGCACTTGGCCTTTGTCACTCCTGTCCTTTTGCTCAGTTCATTTGTTTGTTGGGAATTCTCCTTGAAGTCTCATTTTGCCTAGTAAGGTACTGTCTGCGTTTCTGCAGGCAATTAAAATGTCAAGGGGCAGGGGCGCCTGGGTGGCTCAGTTGGTTAAGCGACTGCCTTCGGCTCAGGTCATGATCTCAGGGTCCTGGGATTGAGCCCCGCATCGGGCTCCCTGATCGGCGGGAAGCCTGCTTCTCCCTTTCCCACTCCCCCTGCTTGTGTTCCCTCTCTCGCTGTCTCTCTCTCTCTCTCAAATAAATAAATAAAATCTTTAAAAAAAAAATGTCAAGGGGTGCCTGGGTGGCTCAGTTGGTTAAACATCTGATTCTTGATTTCGGCTCAGGTTATGATCTCAGGGTTGTGGGACTGAGCCCTGCGTTGGGCTCAGCATGGAGTCCACTTGGGATTCTCTCTCCCTCTCCCTCTGTTCCCCTGCCCCTGCTTCTGCGTGCATGTACGTGCGTGCTCCCTCAGATAAATAAATCTTTTAAAAAAATAATAAAAAATTTAATAAAAAGTCACTTATTCAAGTTTTTCCTGATACTTTATACCATCAAGTGGTATTTTTTCCCTCTAAATTATTCTTGTACCTTATGGCCTTATGTTATATGTACTCATTTGTATCTTCAATAATAGGATCTAGATGTTTGCAGGCCTCTAGAAGGCACCCACTAAATGTGTTTTGATGACTGTCATTCACCTCTTGATTATTCACTGGGCCATTTCTCATGTCTTGTACTGTTAAACTGTCCAGTTGACTATATGTTAGCAGTCTGAACAGGACAAACTGAGAATTTCCTAATTTTGCTACATATCGGATGACTAAGAAAGATTTCCAGAGGAGATTTATAGTTACTGCCCTAAATTAAATTGACATTCATAGGTGGTCCTGGTCGGTGAACTTGCAGGGTCTGTATCTTTTTCCCTTGGTCTTCTCAATACCTGAGTGTATTGGCACATTGCTGACAGTCAAAGTTGTTGACTTGAGTCTCCATCTCCTCCATAAAGTTGTCCCTCCCTACCCCCTTCACTCTTAAGTAGCTAAAGGAGTACTGTATATGACTGAAAATAAAGTGAGCTTGAATGTAAGGGGGGTTCCCTTATTTGCCCGATTAAAGATACCATGTTGTTGTTTTTGCCAGCTGGCATATATCAACTCTTAGACATGGATGTCACATGGGTAATATGTCTTTACATTATTTACCAATTTAATTCAACATATTTAAAATCCTATAGAATTTACAATAAAATATTTAGAAATGTTGCCTTTTTCCAAGCTTATTTTATAAAAGTTTTCCTTATATTTTTCATATGTGTTTTCAACATCAGTGTCCCCTCATGACCAGAGACTCCTTTGAGTCATCTGACACAGTTTGAGGGCACATTATGTTTACTTCCATCTAGATGGAGAGTTAATGCCTGTGAAATCTGAATATGGTCCTATAGCATTGGAAAATTTTGTCCTAAGCCGCCAGATCCCATTCATACAACGTTAGGACAGGACTCAGTTTCATTTTCATTTCATTCATTTCCCTTCAATGTTTCTAATCATATCACATCAGAATAAGATATTTAGAATTCAATTAATTAAAATACAATTAATTTGAAGTAATATTTCAAATAATGAATTTTCTTTAATACTTTTTTTTTTTCCTCTTAAAAGATTCCAGCAGAGGGAACTTTGTCCAAAAAGTTGGCAGCAATAAAGTAAGTTTATAATTACAGAAAGGGAGTAGTTTAAAACTCTCTTTCATTTTGGTTAAAAGTTGAGATCATGTTTTCATGGATTTTTATATTTGGGTAAGACATCACACTTGACCATTTTCTTATGTTTGTAATAGCATGTAAACTTGTCAGATGTTTGTCTTTAAGCCTTAACAAAAATAGTAGAGTCACAGACAGTATCATAAAATAACTTATTAGAAAATGTGCCATGAGAAATTTCAAGGATGTTTAATTGAGCATAGTGTTTGGAAGAGAATAAGAAAGTTTGTGCTCTGATATTCTAGTGTAAGTCTTAAATACCATATTTTATCAATTCTAAGGCACACATTTTCCCATATCTTAACATTTTGAAGTCAGGATGCATCTGAAGATCAGGATGCCCCCCATAGTTGCTATTGGCTGGTCAGGTTTTTCCAGAGAGGATTCAAGCTTGCTTCAGTCACCTGGGGGGTGCCACCAGCCCAAGACCACTTCAGGCTCTCTGAAGGTTTGGGGACCATGCTGGTAGTGTGGCTTTGTGGTTCCTATTCTCAGGGGATTTTCCCTTACCCTCCTATCCACCTGGTGCCAAGGATGAGACATTCATGTTTCTTTACTTCTCATTAATCTTAAAAATTGAAATATAATTGACATATAACATGTTAAGTTTAAAGTGTACAACCTTTATTTCTCATTTACTTTCAGTTCTATGCAGGGTTTCCTATTAATCTCTAATCTTGGGCTTTTTTTCTAACTAGGACATGAAATAATAGATTTTACAAGCAGAGGTGTATATATTAGATAGTTACATTAATAGGTATACAGATTACATCTATATATATAGATACAGTTATATTAGATAAAATATAATAATATACTTTGGGGGCGCCTGGGTGGCTCAGTCAGTTAAGCGTCCAACTCTTGATCTCAGCGCAGGTCTTCATCTCAGGGTTGTGAGTTCAAGCCCTGTGTTGGGCTCTACACTGGGCATGAAGCCTACTTAAAAAAAAAAGTGTATGGAATGGAAAGTTTCTCTCCTAGACCTTTTTCCCTAGTCATCCAATTTCCGGCCCCAGGCAGCTGCTATTTTTATATTTTTGTATAACCTCCTAGAGACATTTTATGCATTTACAAGTTGATACGCAAATACATACGTTTCCCCCACACATAACTTTTGATGCGGCGGTATTCAATATGTGTACTCCGCATTTCCTTTTTTCCGCTTACTATAAACTGGAGATCTGTTTATCAGTGTAAAAATTGCTTCCCTATTCTTTTTTAGAGCATCTCAGTATTCTGTAAGGTATACGATAGCTTGTGTCAACAAACTCTCCACTCATGGATATTGAGCTGTTTTTCCAGTCTTGTGGCCATTACAAATAATGCTTGAGTGAATAACCTTGTTCACGTGTAATTTTGTACATGTGAGAATTATCTGTAGGATAAACTTCTAGTAGTGGAATTGTTTGGTCAAAAGGGTATTTGCATTTGTAATTTTGACTGCTATCCCAGAGATGGTAGTCTATATGTATTCCTACACCTTTATAAATGTATGTTTTTGAGCTTTTCAATGATAGGTGAAAAATGGTATTTGTAATTTCCATTTCTCTTATGAGCGAGCATCTTTTCATATATTCAGGAGTCTTTTGTGCTTCCTTTTATCTGAATTATTACTATCATTTGCCCAGTTTTTTGTTGTTGAATTGTTTCTCATTGATCTGTGGGATGTTAAGGAAATTAGCTTTAGTGATTTGAGTTAGCAAATATTTTTCCTTATTTTCAGTTGCTTTTTTGCTTGGAGGATTTTACCATGTAAAACTTATTTTGCTTTTTCATATAGTCAATTCTTTTAGCCTTGTTTCTACTTTATTAAGGTATAACTTACCTTCAATAAACTGCATATATTTGAAATGTAAAATTTTATGGTTTTAGCATATATACGTGCTCATGAACATACTGAATACTGGGGACCTGGGTGGCTCAGTCAGTTGAGTGGCTGCATTTGGCTTGGGTCATGATCCCAGGGTCCTGGGATTGAGCCCCGCATCAGTTTCCTTGCTTAGTGGGGAGTCTGCTTCTTCCTCTGCCCCTCCCCTCCACTCGTGCTCTCTCTCTCTCTCTCAAATAAATAAATAAAATCTTAAAAAAAAAAGATACTGAATACTTCATCACTCTGGGTATCATCACCCCCACCTGTCCCCAAGCAACCACTGACCTGCTCCCTGTCTCTGTTGTTAGTGTGCATTTTCTAGAATTTTATGTAAATGGACTCATCATGCAGGAGTTACTCTATTAGCTACTTTTTTTGCTCAGCATGATGAGTTTGAGATTTGCTCATAGTGTTTTTTTTTTATTGCCCAGTAGTATTCCATGGTGTGGCTGTACCAAAATGTGTTCATCCATTGACCAGTTTGATGAATATTCAGGTTATTTCTGGGTTGGGGTTATCACAAATAAAGGTTCTAAAAACATTGGTGTACAAATTATTTTTCTTGCTAAAGTATCTGGAGATGTGGGATTGCTGGGTCTTGTGGTGGGTAGATGTCAATTTTCTAAGAAGCTTCCAAATTAATTTCCAAAGTGGTCGCATCATTTTATATTCCACCAGCTGTGTGAGAACTCCAGTTGCTTCACATCCTCATCAACACTTGATGTTGTCAGTCACTTAATTTTAGCCATTCAAAAGGTTTGTCATGTGGTTTCAGTTTCTGTTTTGCTGGTGAGTGAAGATACCGAGTGTCTTTTCACTTGCTTATTGGCTATTTGTATCTGTTCTTTGGAGAAGCGTCAGGTCAGAAATCTTGCCTATTTTCTGGTGGCTTTTTTTTTTTAGAGAGAGAGTGGGGAGGGTCAGAGGGAAAGGGACACAGAGAATCTTAAGCGGGCTTCACACATGGAGCCCAATACAGGGCTCGATTTCACAACCTGGAGATCATGACCCGAGCGGAAATCAAGAGTCCATGCTTAACCAACTGAGCCACCCAGGAGCCCTGGCTTATTATTGAGTTGTGTAGAGTTCTTTATTGTGGATGTAAGACCTTTTTCTGATATATATGTTTTGGATATTTTGCCCCAGTCTGTGGCTAACTTATTTAAAGGTGTCTTTTGAAGAGCCAAAGTTTTAAATTTTATTGAAGATCAAATGTAGAGAGTGCTTTTTTTTTTTTTTTTTTTTTGGTGGTCTGGCCGAGGGCAGTGGGGTTCTCTGCTGTCCTGGTTCAGCCTCAGATGCGGAGAGGCCCTGTCTGTCTGTGTATCCGGGCACCCAACCGGCCCTCCCTCCCGTGGCAGCCACACTCTGCCTTGTGCCTTTGGTGGGCCTTGTGCTGGAGAACATTTCCTACTCCTTGCCCTGTGATAGGAGGCCTCCCTTCCTCTGGCCGCAAGGGTATTTATTCCCTGTGCCCTGGGGGTAACAGACTTTGCTGCCTCTGCCCCAGCAGCTTAGCCCTCTCTATAGAGAGAAGAATCCAGATGGGGCTTTGTGCCCTTCCCACACTAGCCTTGGCCCTTCTCTTCTCCAGCCCATACTCCCATGGATGCTTTTGGGCTTACGCCTGCCCTCGGTCATTCCCGGGGACACCGGCAGAGGTCAGTGGAGCAGAGCCTGCTAGTGGGCATGCACCCCTGTGTTTGCGGCCTCTATAGAGATTCCATTTCAGGCCTAGCCCACACTAGGCTTTAGCAATTTTTTAAGTCCTAGCTGAAATCGGTCCAGCTGGCTTGTCTGGCACCCGTCCTGTGAGCCAAAGCTGCCTGCTGTCTCCTCCGATGGGGCTGTCTTTGCTTAGCTTTCAGGCTGCTTGGTTTCCCTTCGTCTTCAGCTCTGGTGGCTTCAGCAAAAGTTACAGTGTTGTAGGCTGTCCGGCTTCTTACTGTTTAGGGTGGGACTGATGCTATTCCTGGCTTTCTGCCTTCTAGGTAGAAGTAGAACCCTAGCTGTCATTAGTGTTTTTAAATCATCCATCAAGCTTGATACAAAACATGTTCTTGCCACAAGAAAGGAGCAGCACTGCATTCTTGACCTCTTCATTTCCCTGTCCTAAGCAAGGGTCTTTGATCGTCAAGTAACAGAGTACAATTAAGAGTTTTTAAAGTTACTTTCCATTTAGTTTGTCTTGGGGTTTGTCATAGTCCATGGTGGGCTGCTATAACAAAATGCCACAGACTGGATGGCTTTTACAAACAATAGAAATTTCTCAGTTTCAGAGGCTGGGCAGTCAGAGAATAGGATGCCAGCATGGTTGCATTCTGGTGAGGGTCAACTTCCTGACTCATAGCCAGGGCCTTCTCACTGTGCCCTCACATTTTATAGGTTAAACAGTAAGATAAAGAGGGGCTAGGAGCTCTGTGGGGTCTCTTTTTTTTAAGAGCCCTGTTCCTGTTCATGAGGACTCCACCCTCATGACCTCAGTGACGCCCAAAGGCCTCACCTTCTATTACCACCACGTTGGACATTAAATGGATTTCAACATAGGAGTTTGGGGGGGATGCAAACATTACAACACTAGGATTGCCCTAGGACGTGCTGATGAGGATGTTGTCAGCAGCTCTGTGTTGCAGGACCCGAGGAGGGGCTCTCCTGAGTCAGCTAGGCTTGTTTTAAGTCGTAGGCTGGCCACTCCTTGCCTTGTGATCATGGCATTTCTCTGAGTCTCAGCTTCCTTATCCATAAAATCAGAAAAGTAACACCCATGTCAGAGATGTGAGATTAAATAAAATACATAAAATGTCTAACATGGTGCCAGTATTATATTAGGCATTCAATAAACCATAGCTGGTTTTATCAATATAAAACTATCAGATAGTGTAGCATATAATTATAGAACCGCCATGAGAAATGCCCTGTTTCCTAGTATGTTTTTTGATGGTACTCATTTGTTTATTAGCATTTTTGCTACTTCAAAGACAATAGGTTCATGTCTTCAGAGAAGAATATGTGGTCATTACTAGGCCCTTTTTGCTGATTGTTCACATCTAAATTACATGACCGTTTTGCAAACCTAGTGAATTAGTGGGTGTAGGCATTGAGCAGCAAGAGCTGCAGTCATTAAAAAAGAGTGAAAACCAGTCATAGCATGCTTCCTATTGAAAACACAGCCCTACCTCCAGTCCTGACAAAGGGGTCCAGTCTGAGTCCGATCACACCTCTGGATCTGGCTGCCAATTTGCCAAGAAATAGGGAGGACAGAGGTACACGTTGAACCATACTGTGGGCTTGCACTCCACAAAGTCCAGGCTTTGGAATATTTGATAGGTTGAACAGTAAGGTAGAGAGAGAAAAGGAGAATCCTGCAGGGGTGCCTAGGTGGCTCAGTCGGTTGAGTGTCTGACTCTTGGTTTTGGCTCAGGTCATGATCTCTGGGCCCTGGGATCGAGCCCCATGTCGGGCTCCCCACTCAGTAGGGAGTCTGCTTCTCACACTCTGCCCCTCCTCCTGCTCCTCTCTTTCTCAAATAAATAAAAATAAAGTAAAAAGGAATACACATTTGAATGATAAAACTGTATAGACACTCAAGGAAATGGTTTCTGTACAGGTGGGGGTGGTGGTTACCTTTGGAGGAGGGGAGGCACAGACAGAGGCTTTGGGATGGGCAGTGGCCGCAAGGGTATTGGTCTTTAATATTTCTCTAAGCTGTACAGGTTTGTGTAGCTTTTATTTTACAGTAAAAAGGACAAATCAAGTTGGCTGTCACATCTACTTATATATATATACAGATTATATATGTATATATATATATATATATATATACACACACACACACACACACACAGAGCTACAGCTAAGATTCTCGTTTCTAGCCTTGTAGCATGGCACGGAGGTCCTGCTTGCTCTCTCATAGTGATTGATGACTAATAAGGCACAGGTGACATGTAAAAAGTTGTTATTTTTTGAGTGGTTACTAAAGGTTTATTAAAAGAGATGAAGCTTCCCCCAGGAATTCTTGTCATATGTGTTGATGGAGAGTGAGTAGGGAACAAGCTGTATTGTTTCAGTGACTTTGAGATTAACAGATTTTATATTGTCTTTTTTTGTTGTTATACAGACGTAAAATTCATCCTGAGCAGAAAAATATTAATGCTTATGTTGTGTTTAAGGATGAGAGCGCTGCTACAAAAGCATTGAAAAGGTAATTTTACTTATTTGAGATTTGAACAGAATGATTGCATTTAAGTATGTATGAGTACATGCTTTATTCTTTGGTTTGACTTTAGAGTGACTATTTACAGTTAATAATTGGTGCTCATTTTTAACAGCCGTCTTCCCCCTTCGTATTTATAATACAGAAATGGTGCCCAAATTGCAGATGGATTTCGTATTAGAGTTGATCTTGCATCTGAGACTTCATCTGTAAGTAGTACTTGAGTTGTTTAAAGAACTTAACTACAGTCTCAGAGAGAGAAACGTTTTCTTCTGAGCTTTTGCTAGGAGAGGAGTGGAATCAGCAGTGAATGTGAGGGAAGCGGAGGAGACACTTTTGCCCTGTGTGGTCACAGTGTTGGTGCCCAGAGTGGTACAAGGACCTTAGTCAACAGCTTCTGAGAACACGGTTCTCCCACCCCCACCCCTAGATCAAGTAATCGGAGAGAGGTAGCCTGCAAGGGATGTTGGAGATCATCAGGGCCAGTACCTTATTTCATATACTGAGATCGAGAAAGTTCAGTTGCTCTTTAAACAGTTTTTGAGTCCCTACCCTGTGTCAGGCATGCAGTGCGGAGATATGTGTGTGTGTGTGTGTGTGTGTGTGTGTGTATACCTATGGTGTCTCAGTTCTCTAGAGGTTCATGGTACAAAGGTGAAGACAGATGGGCGGTTGTGACACTATTTTATGACAAATACACGGGATGCTTTGTCAGCTTAGGAATGGGACACTTGGGGACGTGCCAGCAAGCAGGGACTTCTTGGGCGGGCTTTCAGGAGAACAGGTGCTCTGTCAGACTTGAAAGATGAGTCAATGTTACCTAGGCCCAAGAAATTTTAAACAGTATATGTGGTGGGGGCCAAAACTTAATTTGCTTAGGGAACAGCAAGAGCTTGATACAATTATGAGCAGGTGGAGTGTGAGGAGGAGCGGCAGTTAAGAGTTGCTGTTGGAGAACTAAGAGAGGCCAAATCATGAAGACTGTGGGCTGCCATGTTGAGGAGGGTGGATTTTGTCCAGGAGCAATCCCACAGGTTTAAATGCAGATTTGCAGTTTACAAAGGTCTCTCACAGTGGATAAAGGCTGCGTTGTAAGAGTTCACCACAGAATCAGAGAGTTGGGTGTCAGAGTGACCTAGTTGAGAAATGACCAAGGCCTGGTAAACCTGTCTGGCTTTGATCGTTGACCCATCCTGAGGGCCAGATCCATCTGCTGCCTGTGTTATTTAAATAAAGTCTTATTAGCACACAGCCATACCCATTAGGTTAGGTGTTAATGTGCCATGACGGGCAGGGGGGGTAGTTAGAACATGGCCGGCAAAGCCTAACATACTTGCTGTCTGGCCCGGTACAGAGAGAGTTTGCCCATCTAGCATGCCCTTCTTGAGCACGGCCATGTGTTAAGAGCTAGCTGTGAACAAGAAACTACTTCCTCTGGTGCTCACTCACTTTCAGGGAGGAAGACGGAAGAAACAATCAAACAGGGGACTGGTGTGTAGTCAGATCAGGAGATGGAGACCCGTCAGATGCGTGGGGTAAGGGAAAGAGTGGATTTTAGGATGACTTCCATTTTCTGCTCCAGTGATTTTTATTAACCCTCTTTGTGTTTCAGAGGGACAAGAGATCAGTATTTGTGGGGAATCTCCCGTACAGTAAGTTTGTTTAAACGAATAAAGTACCCATTTATCATTAAAATAACAGGAAAATAACAGCTGAGTAGTAACTTAATGTTTTGCTTTAAGATTAACATGAAAAAGCATAGAATATTAACTTGACTAATTTTCATGGGGCTTGCTCTATTAACTATATTATATTAACTTGCTATATTATTTAACATCTCCAGCTTTTTCTAAGGCGATCTTGTCCTTACTTGCACTTTGGTTGAATTTGTTTTTAGAAGTTGAAGAATCTGTGGTTGAGGAGCACTTTTTGGACTGTGGGAGTATTGTAGCAGTCAGGATTGTGAGAGACCGAGCTACTGGAATCGGCAGAGGGTTTGGCTATGTGCTCTTTGAGGTATGGGAGACTGGTGCGTTGTCGCTGTCCTCTGAAATGCACTGGACAGGCTGTCACTGCTCTTTCATCACTCACACAGAACTGTCACCATCACCTTCAAATTCCATCTTCAGAAACCTAAACTCATACCCTGCCATAATAGAGTATTGCTCCTGTAATTGCACCTCACCAAAAGCCATGCCAGTTCCCTTTTCTCCATATTAATGTCATTAAATAATGTTTTAGATATTGGACATTTAAGGTATTACATCTCTGAATTTCCACCTTCCATGAAATGGAGAAAAGAATTGACTGTTCATGCAGGTAGAAGGAAAATTTTAGTGTTTGTACAAAATTGGTTACATTTGTCTAACTATTACCCAATGTTTCATGCCTATTCCTTTAGAACATACATACTATTAGAATATACAAACTACCTGATGGCACTTAAGTTTTTTTTCCCTCTGCAAGCACCCATTAAAACATTTCCTTTCAGTTTTTTCTGTGTCTTTTATATAGCTGAACTTCTATCTGTGAACATATAAACATACTTTGCAACCTGCTTTGTGTTGTTTTCTATCGTGTAAGTATGTTCCATCAAGCGATGTAAAATAATTTATACTGTCTTTTCCCTAATGTTTCCCAACTGTTGGAAATTTGCAGTGTTTTTTTTTCCCTGAATAATGAAATTGAAGTAGTTGTTGTTTTTTTTTTTCTTCAAATAGTTGCCTGCAGTTTTTGATTACTTCTTTAGGATAGATTCCCAACAGGCTATTACTGACTAGGTCGAGATGATGAGGGAGCAGAAGGCAAGCCGAGGACAAAGCACAAACACCCTGCAAACCCAGCCCCCCCACCTCGGCTGACTCTCAGGTGGTGGCCCACCAGGATATGTCAGAGTTTCTGGGTGTCAAAGCGACCAGAGGCGTCCCTCAAATGAAAATCGCTATTGATCACCATCCTGCCTTGTCATGAAGGCAGGCCGGCCGTAAAAGGCCCCATAGGAGATACTGGTGTTCCCCTTGCTTCCCCACGGCATCCTAGGCTATAGGTGGGTGCCTAGTGTATGGACTGAGTTTGCCTTGCTGTGAAGGCCATGAGGAACCCACCATTTTTAACCCATGGAAAACACTAGAAAACCAATTTTACAAGGAGAAATTACCCAATTTTGTGATTTAAGTAGTTAGTAGAGGACATTGACAGAAAACAGTAAAGATTGAAATCCATCATGATCTAAGTGACATTTCAACACATGTAGTCTTTACAGCCAACTTCTCTGGGAAACCCATCCCCAGTTGGGTTTTAATTCAGTCGGGTACTGGTTTCGGCCGGCTCCGAGTGGAGGTCTCCTGGCCTGAAGTAGCTAGACCAGAGATGTGGAGGGGTTCACATTAGACCAATGAGGAGGAAACCTCACACTGGGAGTCTTAAGATTGGCAGCTGTGCTAGTCACTTAGGTGGCTGTCCCGTGCCCAAAACAGAGGACTTTGTATGAGGACAGGAATAAAGAGAAGGCATCAGGTTTCTGGGTCTTCTTAACATTCCAGCCAGGGTACTAACTTCTGGTCAAAAGGCAGGCTTTCTCCTCCAGGTAGAGTAGCCCTGGGCTAGAGGATTGCAGCCTGAGCAATCAGCATGAGAGTGTTCCAGTAAGACCGTACTCCTTTAAAACCCCTGAAACGAGAGTAAAGGAAGAGAAGAGAAAGTACTCACCAAGTTTGCTCTGAAGCTCTGGAGTCCAGATGAAAAAACTGAGCCCTACGTTGGCGGCCAAATGACATAGTTTTTGGAGTGTTCGTGTTGGGGTCCAGAGCCGATGACCAAGAAAGAATTCTTGAGATGTCTTTGGTGCAGAAGGGTGATTGTATGAAAGCATGGGACAGGAAGGCTGAAAGGGCTGCATTGTAAGTGTGAGGGGTGGCTGATTATATACTTGAGAGTTAAGGGAGGTAAGGACAAAGGGAGGTGTCCAAAAGGACACTAAAGAAGACTCCCAGGATCCTGGAGGCCTGGCTGTTGTCTAGCTAAGGGAGTTTGTTTTTTTCCCTCCAGTGAGATATTAAAGATAGTTGAGAGTTCCCTGGAGGAATGTTTTACTTTGCCTATCTCAAGTATTTGTCAATAGGCCGCAGGTTATAAAGAAATTTAATTTTATTTACATTCCCTTTTGCCTCTGTTTCCCACATCACTGTGGAGGGGAGGGTGATGTTAGGGCTCTGGGAAGTTGAGCCCATAGGTCTTCTGGAAGTTAGGCTATTGATAAGAATGCTTTTTTTCTTGTAAATAAGACATTTGTAAACTGATGGACACTCATGTCCTGCAGGACTGTGATCTCAGTCAGTTAACCATTTGTTTTTCCCTTCCCTTAGTTTTTTTTTAAATTTTTTAAAATTGTAATTTTTTTTATCATGTTCAGTTAGCCAGTATATAGTAGTACATCATTAGTTTTTGATGTAGTGTTCAACGATTCATTAGTTGTGTATAACACCCAGTGCTCATCACAACATGTGCCCTCCTTAATACCCATTACCCAGTTACCCCATTCCCCCACCTCCCCTACCCTCTGTAACCCTCACTTTATTTCCTGGAGTCCAGAGTCTCTCATGGTTTGTCTCCCTCTTTGATTTCTTCCTGTTCAGTTTTCCCTCCCTTCCCCTGTGGTCCTCCGTGCTAGAGTGAAACCATATGATAATTATCCTTCTCAGCCTGACTTATTTCACTTAGCATAATTCCCTCCAGTTCCATCCATGTTGATGCAAATGGTGGGTATTCATCCTTTCTGATGGCTGAGTCACATTCCATTGTATATATGAACCACATCTTTATCCATTCGTCTGTTGAAGGGCTTCTCGGCTCCTTCCACAGTTTGGCTATTGTGGACATTGCTGCTATGAACATTGGGGTGCATGTGCCCAGTCTTTTCACTACATCTGTATCTTTGGGGTAAATACCTAGTAGTGCAATTACTGGGTCGTAGGGTAGCTCTATTTTTAACATCTTGAGGAACCTCCATACTGTTTTCCAGAGTGGCTGCACCAGCTTCCATTCCCACCAACAATGTAAGAGGGTTCCCCTTTCTCCACATCCTCTCCAACATCTGTCGTTTCCTGTCTTGTTAATTTTAGCCATTCTGACTAATGGCTAAAATTGTAAGGTGGTATCTCATCGTGGTTTGGGTTGTATTTCCGTAATGCCAAGAGATGTTGAGCAACTTTTCATGTGTCTGTTAGCCATTTGTATGTCTTCTTTGGAGAAGTGTCTGTTCATGTCTTCTGCCCATTTTGTGACTGGATTATTTGTTTTTTGGGTGTTGAGTTTGATAAGTTCTTTGTAGATCTTGGATACCAGCCCTTTATCTGAAATGTCATTTGCAAATATCTTCTCCCATTCCGTAGATTGCCCTCCCTTAGTTTAAGGGCAACCAGGAATACCTGAGGAATGTCACACTTACCCCACCTGGGAGTTGGGTTGCAGAGTGTCAGCTTGTGCTTTGTCCTCAGCTTGCCTTCTGTTCCCTCATCAAAGAAATGTGACCATGTTTAATACTCTTGCTATGTTTTATTACCAGATAGCTTTTGTTTCCATCGTGACTGCATTGGAGTTACCTTACTATCTCTCTGCTGTCTACTATTACTTGATAAGTTTGTGAAGTCCCTTAACAGATATCTCATGAACATTCAGGATTGTTAGCATTTAGTGGTTTTATATTGCAATAAAAGAGTAATAGAATTTGGGATCTAAACGGAGGCCTGCAAGGCATCTAGTTCAACGTCTCAGAGACTGTTCCCGTCTCTCAAGTCAACTAACACAGTGGGGCTTCTGCAGAAAGAGCCTGGGAGAGGCAAGGTTGATTGGTTTAAAAGATTGCATGTGACTAATGTCATTGGCCAAAACTCGCCTTTTACAGTGAGAAAAATGAAGCTTGTTGGGTTGTGACAGGCAGCTGAATGCTTCCGGCGGGGGCGGGGAGGGGGCGGATTTCTTGAGGAGCATCATGAGAACAATACTTCAAGCACGGTTGCTGAAACCCCGGGGATCAAATCTCGTGGAGGTGGAAATGGGAGGGGTTTCTGTCTATGGGCAAGCTTGAAAATTGCTCTAACCCATTTAGGTCACAATTTTACTAGTTTCCTTGCAGAGGACTTTCTGGTGGAAATTAATATATTGATTTTTATTGCAGAATACAGATGCTGTTCATCTTGCTCTGAAATTAAATAATTCTGAACTGATGGGAAGAAAACTCAGAGTCATGCGTTCTGTTAATAAAGAAAAATTAAAACCAAACTCAAATCCCAGTTTGAAGAATGTCAGTAAACCTAAGCAGGGACTTAATTTTGCTTCAAAAAATGTAGGACCTTCTAAAAGTTTGTTTATTGGAGAAAAAGCTGTTATCATTAAGAAGAAAAAAAAAGGACAAAAGAAAATTGGACAAGCTAAGAAACAGAAAAAACAGAAGTAACCACCCAAAGATTATTTCGTTCCCACTGAGTACTGGTAATAAAAATATGGTAAACCCACGAATTGAGTTTCAGAGTTTTTTATGGATGGTGCGTGTGAAATGTGGAAACCTGTTGAGTTTATTCACATTGTCATAGCACCTTTGAAGCCTTTGTTTTAAGATGTAGGCAGATTAGTCACCAATGATTTTGCGTTTCTGCTGATGGACTAGAGCAGTGTTCTCATACTTTTGATTACGATCTGTTGTAGCTTTTTTTTTTTTAAATATTTTATTTATTTATTTGACATAGAGAGAGAGACAGAGTGAGCACAAGCAGGGGGAGTGGCAGGCAGAGGGAGAGGGAGAAGCAGGATCCCCACAGAGAAGGGGGAGCCCGATGTGGGACTCGATCCCAGGACTCCGGGATCATGACCTGAGCCAAAGGCAGTCTCTTAACCAACTGAGCCACCCAGGCACCCTGTTCTAGTAGCTTTAACTTTTAACTTTACTTTGTGACCAGTACAAACATGATATATTTAACTGACGTGTACTGGTCCTTACTACACATGTTGCTTTCTGATATGTGTATAGTTTTAAAGATTTTAGACTTAGGGTAAACACTTAGAATTTTAGTGGTTATGTATTAGTGTAAGTTAGTGGTTATATATTAGTGTAAGTTAGAAATATGTAACACTTCACATGGTTATTTCGAGAATTACTTGGGATGAGACTAAAGTGAGTAACTTAAAAATCTATATACACACACACACCTTAATACTGACTGGATCTAGACAGAGTCGAAATACTAATCTAATATGAATCCCAATCCCTAAGGAGAAAGGGTTTTAAGCGCTGTTATATAATGGCCTCTAATTTTTTTTCCCTTTCTCTTGAACTTGTAAAAAGTGGAGTTCTGGGTTTTTATTTTCTTTCATCAATGTAGTAATAAACTAACCCAAGAATATTATATGAAATGTTGCTTTGATTTCTTAACCAGTAATTAAACTTGTTACTGAAGTCCTTGGCAAACTGTGTCTCAAGCAGATTTCTACTTTTATTTCTGTTTTTTAATTTGAAAAAATATTCTCCCAGGAAAACTTGTGATTCTTAAATTGGTGTCATGCAGTAGAATGAAACAGTCCTTCAAAAAATCCCATTTAAAGGATATTTTCTGATAAAATATGGTAATTAAGTCACAAAGTATAAAGTTCAACAAGGGGAGAGAATATCAGTGCATTCCCCTGGGGTTCAAGTTCATGCTATGGCTGTTGCCCATCTCACAAATCTTACCAAGCTGCATCTGTGCCCAGGAGGGAGGGGGTGGGAGAAATCCAGGGGTGCTGATCTGAGGCAGGCAGAATCTATGATACCATGTGTATCAGGTGAATAAGGGGATTGAGTGAGTTATTACTGATTATTTAAAAAAATCTTTCTTTTGGGCATAGCACCAGGAAAACCTAATGGTTCTTTAAAATGTAAATTGTAGAAATCAGAGCTCTATTTTCCTATATCCAGAGACTGGATATTTCATGTTTAGCATCTCCTATGGTGCTTAGAATCTAGTTTTTCATAAGTATAGTTTAGTAAATACTTACTCCTTGATAATCTTGAGCATTTTTGCATATATTCCCAGTTAAACTTACATAAAGATGCTTTGCCTATATAGACTGTCACTGTAGATGGAGACTATATATGGTATAGAATTTTCTTGTGTATATTAGTGTCCGTTATATTGTGTATAATTACAGTATATATATAAATTTGTATAACTTTAGTCTTTAACATAGAGTGCTCCTTTTGGTCTCCAGGTTTTTGTGTAAAGAGCCCTGGACTAGAATGTAGGGGCATCTTGTTCTTGACCCAGCTCTGGCTGTGTGTGTGCATGACGTTGGACAAGCCTCTCAATCTCTTTATCTAAGTATCTTGACTGGTGAAATAAGGGACATGGACTAGAGCAGTGTTCTCATACTTCATTACGATCTGTTGTAGTAGCTTTAACTTTACTTTGGAACCAGTACAAACGATATATTTAACTGACGTGTACTGGTCCTTACTACACATGTTGCTTTCTGGTATATGTATATTTTTAAAGATTTATTTATTTATTTGAGAGAGAGCACGTGTGAGTGCGTGAGCAGAGGGAGGGACAGAGGGAGAGGGAGAGAGAATCTCAAGCACTCTCCCTGTTGAGTGGGGAGCCTGATGCGGGGCTTGATCCCAGGACCCTGAGATTGTGACCTGAGCTGAAACCAAGAGCCAGATGCCCTGCTTTCTGATATTTTAAATTCTATTTTATTAAAAACACTGGTTATGATCCACTAAAGTATTCCACAGCTCACTAATGATTTGACTCACAAACAAGTGTGGGGATTCCAGGCTGTTTCTTTTTCAGGATTCTATGCTTATGTTTTACAACAGGTGTTTTAAAATGTAGAGTGGTTAAGGGATAAAAAGACGCAAATGTTGCTGTAACTGGGCTTTCTATAAACGTGTTGCCTGGTATATTGTACCTCATAGGAGTGACCTGAACATTTAACTCATGTTTACGGTGCACAACACAGGGATAGTTCTTTGTTCATTCAGGAGTTGAAATCTATTTTTTTTTCTTAAGATTTTATTTATCTGGGGGTGAGAGAGAGAGGGAGAGAAAGAATGAGCAGGGGGAGGCGCAGAGGGAGAAGCTGGCTCCTTGCTGAACAGGGAGCCTGATGCGGGGCTTGATCCCAGGATCCTGAGGTCATGACCCGTGCCGAAGGCAGATGCTTAACCAGCTGAGCCACCCAGGTGCCCCTAGGAGTCTTAATCTAATGGCCATGTAGTCTGTTCAAGTTTTCAAGAGAGTGGAGTGCTAGGCCTCATGTCATCTGTGTGGCCTCGGAAAAGTCTCTTTTGTTCCAACACACCTGCGGCTCAGGATATACTTCTAACAGCTGAGGTTCACTGGCAACGTTTTAGAACTAGAAGAATGAGAATGTTTGCAGTGCATAAGGAGAAGCTTTCTGTGTTATTCTGTGTAAATCTCAATTATTTGCTTTGGTACATAATGCATCTCCACACTCTTCTCCCTTCTCCACCCCAGTCCAGGCAAAAGCATACATACCTTTGGTCCAATTTCCAGTCTTCCAAAGGGTCTGAAGTTCATCATCACTTAAGCAGAAGGGCTTTCCTGGACTCCTGGACTAGGTTAGAGCCTCCAGCTAAAGGTTTCCACAAGTACCCTTGTAATAACCTCTGACACCAGCTACCCAGAGTTAGGCCAGACTTCACAGGTTAAGAGCACAGAGCACAGCTTCCTACAAGACTGCCTTCAGACCCCAGATAAAAATTTGGGGGGGTGTCTCCAGGTCACTCATAACCAGCTGGCCACTAGTTTGGGGGTTCCCACTACTTCAGGTTCAATAATTTATAAAAGACAATTCAGGAGCATGTTACACGTTTTTTTTTAAAAAAAGTGCTTTTATTTATTTGAGAGAGCACAAGCAGTGGTGTGTGGGGGGGGGCGGGAAGGGCAGAGGGAGAGGGAGAAGCAGACTCCCCGCTGAGCAGGGAGCCTGACACGGGGCTTGATCCCAGGACCCTGAGATGGTGATCGGAGCTGAAGGCAGACGCTTAACTGAGCCACATAGACGCCCCTACACTTACTTATCTTTTTAAGTTTTATTTAAGTAATCTCTATATCCAACATGGGGCTAGAACTCACCACTGGGAGATCAAGTCGCATGTTCCCCTGATTGAGCCAGTCAGGTGCCCCAGGAACATGTTATGCTTAGGATTACAATTTTATTATAGCAAAAAATAAAAACCAAACCAGCCATAGGGAAAGACACATAGGGAGAGGTCTGGGACAGTCCCACATTTGAAGCTTCTGTTGTCCCCTCCCAGTGGAATCAGAACACCTCCCCCTCCTAGCACGTGGCACATTGGTATAGACACTACACAGAGTATTGCCAACCTGGGAGGCTCACCCACTTCTGCGTCCTGAGTTTTTATTTGGGTTTCATTATGTAGGCCATGAATCTCCAGCTCTCCTCCCCTCTAATTCCTTTCCTCCCCAGGGATATCACCTAGATCAAAGTCCCAACCCTCTAACCACAATGTTGAACTTTCTGGCCTGGCCAGCCCCCATCACCAGGGGACTGCTTAGCATAATCTGTCAGGACTCACCATGAGTAAGAGCCATGGCTGTCACGCCGAGGGTTAACATCGAGGGTTAAAGAGGATCCCTCCCTGGGGCGCCTGGGTGGCTCAGCCGTTAAGCGTCTGCCTTCGTCTCAGGTCCTGATCCCAGGGTCCTGGGATCGAGTCCCTCACCGGGCTCCCTGCTCAGCGGGGAGCCTGCTTCTCCCTCTCCCACTCCCCCTGCTTGTGTTCCCTCTCTTGCTATCTCTCTGTCAAATAAATAAAATCTTTAAAAAATATATTAAAAAGAAAGAGGATCCCTCCCTAAGACTGGGGACAGAGGCAGCCACTTTTATTACACATCCTTGTATGTGCCTTCCCTTACCCCTCTCCATTTGTAGTTATGTCTCCTTTCTGACCAAGGTTTTGTCTTTTTAATTTATTTTTTTAAAGATTTTATTTCAGCGAGAGCGAGTGCAAGCATGAGCAGTGGGGAGAAGCAGAGGGAGAAGCAGACTCCCCACTGAGCAAGGAGCCCCATTCTGGTCTCCATCCCCAGGACCCTGGGATCATGACCCCAGCGGAAGGCCGACATGCTGAACGGACTGAGCCACCCACGTGGCTGTCTTTTATTTTTTTTAAGATTTTTTATTTTTATTTATTTATTCATGAGAGACAGAGAGAGGCAGAGGGAGAAGCAGTCTCCCAAGGAGCAGGGAGCCTGATGCGGGACTCGATCCCAGGACTCTGGGATCATGACCTGAGCTGAAGGCAGACGCTTAATGACTGAGCCACCCAGGCGCCCTGTGGCTCTGTCTTTTAAATTCCAAACTACCATACATTTCCAGTGACTGTAAGACAACTCATGTTTTCCATTTTTTTCAATCTCTTTTATCCGTTTTTTTTTTTTTTTTTTTTTTAGATTTTATTTATTTGACAGAGAAAGACACAGTGAGAGA